ACATGGCATATATCCAGGGACTTTGCCACTGACCTGAATGATTTGCCCTTCTCAACTTCATTTGAGGCCCTCTGCAGCAGAGCAAGTGGCACTCCCCTGTCTGTCTTCCTCTTTCTGACATTTGGCATACTGTAAACACACACACACACACACACACACACACACACACACACACACACACACACACACACACACACACACACACACACACACACACACACACTTTAGGCCTACTGTACAGTATTTTATTCTGTTTATTTGTAAGTGGGACAATGCACACCAATCAACAATACAACTGTATGCTTGAATGAACAATTGATCATTCAAGCAAATGAGCCATCATTGTAAATGTGCCATGTTACAACCGTCCCGTACCAACCGTCCCAGGACCACCAGTCTTGCTTTCACCCCCTGTGAACCTGCCTGATTGCTAGCATAGTTAGCTAGTTATATTACATTTTTAGCTTACAAAACAGTGATTCTAATAATACTAGTTTGGATTCCTAGACATTTTAACTTAAGACAGTTCCAAAAAATACATCATATAATTGTAGTTAATATTTTACCTCAGAAACACACTTTTGCTGATATCTTACGCGAGAAATTCAAACGTGGCTCCTTTTTTTCTCAGCGATCTTACCATCTAACTGCGCATGTGCAGAGTGAGTTTCATCACTCTAGCTTGTTTGTGATTGGAGATATTGAAGGTGTTACAACCGACCCTTGTTACAACTGTCCCTGGTCTCCCTACTCAGTCCTTACAGAAACAAGGTCGGCACATTACATATCCCAGGATGCAACTGCAAGTAGGCGATCCAGAGCAATTAAGGTAACATATTTGACATACATGTTAAGGTTATTTGAAGCTTTCTAAAGACGACCCCTGGACATAATTAAACTTGTTTTGCATCCGCAGAAATCTCATTTAATGTCTTAAAAACAACACTAAAGGGGTCACACATTTGAAGGTGAAATGTTTCAGACTCAGTGAGCATTGCAGACCCCAAACGGTCCTGCAAAACAGCCTCTGATGGAAACACGGTGTTCTGTCATTACAGGAGCTCTTTGTGACTCAACCATTTCAAATGCAAATGCCCTGCCTCTGATTTCTTTGATTCAGCTCTCCATGTTAGCTGTGGGTTACACCATGTGAACACGAGGGGCTTTTCAGGTGTAATTGCCTTTCAGGGCTAATTGTCCCGGGCTTTTTGTTGCTCTTAGAAGCACCTGTGCGTGGATCAAAGCATTTGTTGTGTGTGTCAGCTTTGTTTCAAGTGGGTGTCCTTACAGCACATTGTCAAGTAATTGCCTCTCCAGAAATGTCTATGGCCACTGTTGGAAAAAGAGCTCACCTTTCATTGGAGAAGAGCATTTGTATGGCTAAGTTAGTAAAGATCAAGGTTTGGTAACAGCGTAATCATCGCAGGAGATGGAAAATGAATGAACCTACTGATAGAATGAGGATTAAAAACTACAAGTATTGATGTATATCAGATTATTATGTGCAGGACATTTCACACTAACTTCATTGCATTTCAAAGGTCAACCGTTCATTTTTACATAATGAGACCTTGTTCCATCTTCTTCTGCTTGACTTCTGACCTTTAGTGTTACAATCACTCTTCTATGGAACAGTATAAGGCCTAAAGGAGAGAAAACAAGAGGAGGAATGTTTATTTGTTAAGTTTAGCATTTAAAAATATAAAGTTGAACAGCCAAGAATAAAGTCAAAATACTGTTTAACTTTGAATATGAGAAAAATAAAGAGCTTTTTGAACATTAAAACATGGAGACATGTCACAGTGGAGGCACTAAATACTGATATGAACCTGACATTTAACATAATAAGGCCCCTTTAAAAGTTCAATATTTATTCTCGACATTTCAAATGTATTCTTTAAAAGTGTTTAAACTTTTCAAAACATTTTAATTTAATTCTCAATCAATCTAAAACGTCCCCCTTTCTGACTAATGCAATGCCTAGTGACAGTTACACCTTTTTTTCTTTTATTCTTGAAATACGGAACAAAGTATTTGTTGCATGGCCCTTATACTATTCGTCAACCTTCAGCATTTCCATCCTAAATCTTTATAATTCAATAAATATGTCAGGTCAGAGGTCACATCTGCGTTGTTGTGCAATTGGATACTTCCAGAACTCGCTGCCAGGTAAATTTGCTGTCCAATAAAGCTCTCTCTTCAAAGCAGTTCGTGATATTTGCAGAGCGTCGGTCAAAGCGCTGCATGTCCTGCCCTCATCAGTGATATCAAAGAAGCATGTGCACATCATAAGGATAAAAATAGACCAATAGCAGAACAGATGTCCAATAAAAATGGAAATGAAAGATGACAATCTCAAAAGCAAATATTAAAACTTTAATATTATTGTGGAGTATTCTGATAATTTTAAACAGCTTGTAAATCTTTGGAAGACATCTTATACCAACTGTGAAACAACGGAGAAAATACATTTGAAAAACATTTTTATTCACCAGATATTGAAGGTTAAATGGCTGCAAAACTTGAATTCTAAAGAGACATTATGATGTAATCAAGCAAACCCAGAAATGTCTACATGCAATGTGCATCAAAATGGTTGGAGGGGAGGGGTCTAACAGCATGGGGTAGAGGTATAAATGCACCCTGAATACAGATAGGGCGATCAGAATTACACTGTATCTGTCTTTTCAGCTAAAGAAGAACAACTGCTGTTTTGATTGAAGATTTACGGGACCAAAAACATTTCTTCCTGACTGAGAAATGGAAAACTGGAAGCTATGGCTGGTTGTTGTGACTTTTTGTGCTCTGCTGCAGACCTATCAGGCGCTGTCCTCCAGGGAGGGAGAGGAGAGAGAATTATCTCCAGACTGGCAGGTGAGCGTCCGTTATTACATTCTTTGGGGAAAATAGAGATTATAAAAAATATTATTTTTTATTGCTGGAGTTTTTTTAAGTGTCTGATTAAATGCTCTGTGGTTAATGATAATTTAGGGATTTTTTACAAACCAAAAATATGTATCCAGTCCGCTCTTTAATTATTTTTCTGCAATAATAATTGTTTCTGGTAGGATGAGTCTCTGGAGGAAAGTCTGATCAGTCTGATGAAAAGATCCAAAGGTCTGCGCTTCCACGGACTCATGGGGAAACGCTCAGGTGGCCTCTCTACTCATCTCTTATTTAAACGCATATTACATATTTTATTTTCTGTATAGAGTGAATTTCTGTGGAAATTAGATGAATTAAGATATACTTTCGACTCCACTTCGAGCGATAGAATTACTAACAAAGCACTTATGTACTAATAAAGGACTGGCTTATCTAAAGCCAGTTGAGTAGCACTTGAAATGTTTTGGCTCTATGAAACCTGATGTACTTATATGATTCTGTTTTCTCCAAGTTTGTTTCTTCTTGGTCGAATGTACTTATTGTAAGTAGCTTTGGATAAAAGTGTCAGCTAAATGTAATGTAATGAACTGATTTAATGATCCAACATTAGGAAATTGTTCTGTCACAGCAGCGTGTTAAAAAAGCATACATAGAATAAATTAAGATATAAATAGAATACAAATATATATTAACAGTAAATATATACATCTGAACAGCATTGAGAATCTAAAGAATGCATAATATAAAATATACATAAATAATATACAAAGCAAGTTAGTGTACTCTATAATAGAACAGTCTACTACTAAAAAAGATAAATAAATATAGTATTCTATATACAATATAGTATGCAAATTAATTCATACAAATTAAGGTGAGGTATTTAGAGCACACTATCTGCACATCGTGTATGCTTGAAAATATGAAAACATGATAAATGATTATAAAAAACATTAACCTTTTTTTTTTTCTCTAACTATTCCTCAGATCCAAAGAAGCCGTTTAAAGTAAATCGACGTAAGTAGCTTGATGTCACTTTCAGGTTGTTTGTTGTGACAGCATCTCTATCATGAAATGGGTCATTGTAAAGTGAGTCTCTTCCTCACACTGACAGGAAACAAAGGAGAGGCGTTTGTGGGTCTGATGGGGAGAAGCGTTTCCAGTGGCGGTGAGCAAAGAAAACTCCAACGAAGCAAAGTGTAGCTCATTTCAAAATATCAAAGCAGCTTTATTGATATTAAAAATATCAAATTGCTAATACACATGTAACAGCTATGATTCAAAGTACAAGGCAAATACTGTCCCACTGAAATGAAGATGTTTGATTACAGAGTCTTCAAAAAGAATATTTCCTGCAACAACCACAGCCTTCGATGTCTCAGAGAAACCACGCAAGCAAGGTATGATCGTATAAAAACCTGATGTGTTTGATTTCTATGTGCATTCTTGCAGTGGCGCCATTTTCTTTTTATTCTGAGCAAATTAAAAATATGTATAATTCATGTTTTCCATTATTTGGCAGGTTCATCGGAGGAATGGGTCCACATCTTGTATTGATGGAGCTTTAAAAAGAAATAAGTGTACGTTATAATGATCTATACAATTTTACGCCAACCAAAGAAGTGTCACCATACATCTCACACTCCGCTGACGTTTTCAATTCATGCCGACACTCATTGTATTAATCCCAAACAGAAACCATCTTTAAATGCACATTTCCTGAATTAAATAAAAAAATAACAGCCTGTAAACGCTGGTAAATACATTTTTTTTGCATGAGAAAAGCAAAAACACATCACACCGGTTCATTTATCATTAACATTCAAAGCTTAGTAGATGTACGCAGTTGTAAAAAGAAACAGGAAAGGACATTCTCTTTTGTAGTTAGTTGATGATTGAATTTGGAACGTAGGGTGCTTCAAATCTAAAAGTTAAAAAGTAAAAAAAAAAAAAAGTAACGTGAAAGGATGACCAATGGTCTTTATTGACAGTTTGGAGGTCGAGGCTACTTGTGGCTGGTGAGGCTGGAGGTGAGTTCATTCTGTAGCCTGAGGGTCTTTAGTGCTCATGTCCCTTTGGGGGGGGTCCACTTCAGAGAGCTGGGGTCGATGGTTTTGTTGCTGTTGCCTCGCTTGATCTCCTTCGCTCTCCACTCATCTATCAGGTCCTGAGAGGGAGGGGAAAGGAACAACTGGGCTGTCAAATATATACGGATTCAAATGAAATGAAACTGAATTGAATAGGGGGAAACATTAGATGATATCAAATATTTGTGATCACTTTAATAGCAATGTCTTGTAATTTAGGGTACAATATTTACTGAATATTTCCAAAACAGATAAAGGTTAGACTCCTGTCTTTCCTTTTAAAATATTTGTTTGACTGGAAGAAAATGTTGATTTTAAGATTGAACTTTTCAGCCAGATATGAGAGTTGTCCCATCATGATACAGGTTTTTAACATTTTGAATTTATTTTTGTGGATTTAAGCCTTTACAGATCATTAACATGCACAAAAACCTACAGGAAAGGGACAACCCCAAAAAGCATTATAGGGCTCCTTAACGAGAGATAATAAACTAAAATATAAAAGGGTCAACGGGCCGCCATCTTACCTGTCGCTTCAACACCAAGTGCTTTCCCTTCCAATACTTCAGCATCTGGAGAGACTGCAGCGTGCTCACAATGTCCACCGGATTCACTGCCGTCTCCTGACTGATCTCTGCATCAATAAATATTACAACGGTGAAAATCATGTGTGTACTTTGTTTACAAATACCATCTCTTCCTGTGGTTATACATCTTTCACAACCTACAGACAGAGAGTTCATTATCCTCACAGCAGTAAAGTGGTATAGTTTGACTTCTGTGTTTTCACTCACCTTTGATGGAGATCTCTTTGCCCTGGAAGTTGTACATGTATCTGAGCAACACTTCCTTCCAGTAACTACGGTAACTGATGAGGCCCAGGTCAGACAGGGGTCTCTCGGGTGAGCCCACCCTCTCCTCCACTTTAGACAGCAGGTAGCCTGAAAGAAGGAGGAGAGGAGAGTCATGAAGAGCAGCTGTTTGTATTTATGTAAAGAAGACTAGCAGTTTGAAAACAGACCATAATAATAAGGCTGTATGCAAGTGATGACTTGTGTATCTGCAACTATGCTTTAAGCATAATAAACAAGTGAGAAAAAGAAGAAAAAAAAAACGTAGAATGTTGATTTAAATTTCGAATGTCAACATCGTACAAAACTTTTTTAAACACATAAATCCCATAAAATCACAACAAAACAGTCTCAAACAAGTTTACACACAGCCCTGGATGAATATTACTCAAAGGCTAGATTAGAAATATTCTACATTCTATTAATTAAGCAAAAAGTAATTTAAGAGGATGTACTTTTTTCCTTTAAAGGTCCCATATCATGCTTTTCCGGTTATTACCCGTCCCCTTGTGTGTTATGAAGCTTTTTCTGCATGTAAACGGTCTGTAGAGTCACAAAGCCTCAAAGTACACCCTGTAGCGAGTAAAACTCTAACACAGAGAAGACCTGTCTGTGCTGCCCCAGAACGCATACAGAGATGCTGTATGAGAAACCAATGTGAGTTTGGAAAATTGCACGATATAAATCTATTCTAGTAGACCTCAACAATGGAATCATGATCAGTAGAAATGGCCATGACATGGGACCTTCAAATGCCTTCATCTTTTAGTTGAATTGGTTTTGGTTCAATTGAATGAAATCAGTGGACGCTTACTGAAGTCGATGAGCATCTTTCCAAAGCCCTGCCTCATGTACTGCGGCATCGTCAGGATACAGGAGACGTTGTAGTTCAGGAATGAGTTCTTCTCCTGGTGATACAAAAACATTCCAGTTGGTAATGTGTACAACAATATATAAAACATTTTGTATACACAGAATAAATCTTATTTTCACACTTACTTTGGAAAAGTATCCCACCAGATGGCAGCCGGTGTTGTCGGCTTCGGTCATGACGTAGAAGAGAAACGGCTCCACATCGTAGTAAAGCGTTTTGTGGTCCAAGAACAGTTTGGCAAGTAAACAGAGGTTCTGGCAGTAGATCTGAGGGGAAACAGCTACTAATTAGTATTAAATCATTCTGTCTGAAGTGCTTGCTTTTCAGGGGTGCGTGTAACCAGTCTCCAAGTTTCTATACTACCAGAGGGAATGAACATTTTAAAGTCCTACCTTATTCTTTTTGCCATCGACTTCAAACACAGATATTCCTCCTTTTCTGTAGACCTCGTCTCCTGGAGGATGCTTCCACACACACTTAGCCTGAAAGGACAAATAATAAAAACACACATTAGTATCATTTTCTAAGACTAAGATATTATAAACACAGATATTATATAAAAAAGACATAATCCAGTGTTAATAAAGAATGATGTTTTCATACATTAAATACAAATTCTAAATGAACCAATCAATTTCAAGCCTTTTTTACTTGTATTAATATGAACTATAAATGAGTCGGTCATCTATTAATAATAATAATACATAATATTTATATAGCGCCTTTCACGAAACCCAAGGTCGCTTTACAAGTCGGGTAGGGGGGGGGAGTAGGGGAAAAGAGGCAGACAGGTTNCGTGGGGAGAGCCTTGGTGAAAAGGTGCGTTTTGAGGGCTTTTTTGAAAGTGTTTCGGGGGGGGAGAGAGTTCCAGAGGGGGGGGGATGCTACACTGAAAGCTCTGTCACCGAAAGTCCGCAACCTGGTGCGGGGGGTAGAGAGGAGATCCTGTCCAGACGATCGTAGCTTCCGGCTGGAGCTAAGACATATGACATATGTCCTAAAGACAGAATCAAACATCCAGTGGAAATCACCGTGGCAGTGAAACATTCTTTGACCCTCACCATGTGTCTCCTGAGAATGGTCTGGCTCTTCATGTACTTGAGGCAGAATTCGCACACGTAGAGGCGGCCGAGGCGTGCGTACTCCTCGGGATACGGGGAGTGGTACCAGGTGTCCAGCTCGTAGCGGCCGAACAGGATGGTCTTTATCATGTTGCTGCCCTCCGTGATCTGACCCTGGATACGCAGCTTCTCCTGCAGGAGGGACGGAGAAGGTGTTACTGCTGATCTTAGCATCAACAGTTGTGATACACACATAGTTTCCATTTCAAAATGTCACACATTTACAGACTTCTTTAAAAAAAAAAAAAAGACCATATTTGTGAATCTGAGTTCAGGGGATACTGTTACAAGACTAGAGTTATTTTGCATATGGTTTGTAATTAGCTTTCTTTGCCCATTTCAAATCCTTCGCGAACCAGGCTTCATTTGTGGAATTGTAAACCCAGGCCTCTGAACAATTGCATTTACCCACAGCAGTCTGGAAAACCAAATGTTTTCCCATGCTTATCCAGACCTGAGAATAACTAAAAATCAGATTCCCTAGTTTCCCATACCGAGCAGGAAACCTGAACACAGTTATTTAATGTATAATAATGGTAATATAAAACAGCCCCTTACCAGATCTTCAGATGCGCGGGCCTGGGCTTTTCTGAAGAGCTCCAGGTCATATTCACTGGTGATGTTCTCCAGCAGAGGCTCTCTGGTGTTGCTGTGTGTCTGCCGGTGCTCCTGTGGACCAGACATTCAAATGAATAAAGATCAAATGATATATATCAAACATATAAATAGCCCAGCAGGTGTGAAAGAGCCACATGGAGTGAGAGTCAAAGTGAGAAACGGCATGTTTGAGAGCCAGCGATGTACCATGTGTTTTTCTTTCTGCTCTTTCTGAAGGCCAGAGTTTCGGCCCTTCCTCATCTCAGCCACCTGCTCCTTGTATTTGCTCTGTTTGGATGTTGGTGTCTGAAAAGATAGAAATACATTACCTTTCATGGCAATACAACATGTGCACAATAACAACTCAATGTGTTATCTCTGCACACAATCAGAAAGAACATTCATAAGCTTCATGAAGAAGAAAACGTGATTAATGCTAATCATAGCAAAAAGAGGCTACCTGGTGGCGAGTAGCATGGCGTGAGTTGTTTTCTTCCTGCCCCTTCAGCTCATCCTCTTGTTTCTCGCGGCTGATAGCTTTCACCTGTAATGAAGAGTAAGATTAATCTCTTGTGTGAAATAGCTTCTTGTGTTTTGCAAAGCCTTATCAATGTATTGGAAGTTAATGCTCTGTTAACTGTTTGTTATTAACCATAAGACTAACTACCATAAAAATCTAATGTAAAACACAGAACTACAATGCTGTTTTTTTATCAAGTAAAAAAAAAAGAAAACAGAAAAAATTGGCCAGCCAAGGAAACCGTAGCTAACAGAAATACAACATACACATTATAACAAGTCAAGTGTTGGCCAACTCTATCTTAGCTTATGATAGTAAACAAGAAACTGCAATAACATATCATCATCTCACCTTGCATTCATCAGCAGAGAGATTGTGGTAAAGAGGACAACCTGACACAGCAAAATGGCGCTCATGTTTCCCTGTGAGGTGACCTGGATACATTGAGAAAAGGAAATATATTTCAATTAATAAAATGGCATTATGATAGTACATGATGTCACGGAATAACCTTGTTTACACTTTTTAAAAGGGCAGGGATTTTACCGAGTGAATTGCATCCTGGCGTGGGGCATTTCATGTTGAAGTTGTATGTCTCGTGACAGCGGCGGCGCTTGGGTCGATGGGAGAGGTCTTTATCCGAGTCTCGGCTGGCCTGATCTTTGGCCTGGCTCTCATCATGTGAGGCGTTGGGGCTGGAGATGTCCAGCTCCGATTCAGAAGAGGGGGCATTTCCTGTGGGCGTCAACGGTGGAGATTCATCATGGTCTGCAGCTCGCTTCAAGTCTGGAGTGTCTAAAGCAAAAGGAGTGAAAACAAGAAGTAAAGAAAACAGCTATGATGAAGTACACTGTTTCAAATGTATTTAAAAAGGATGTTGGCCAACCTTGAGAGCTTTGGCTAAGGCGAGTAGAGGCTCTGGTGAGGCGCTGTCTCTTGGAAAGGTTTCCGTCGCTTTCTGAACTATTGGTCTGTTCTCTTTCAGCGGAGGAGTCAGAGTCTTCAGTTCCATCTGACCCACTTCCAACCATATGTCTCTATCAGGGGGGGGGGTCAAATGAGAGGCATCCTTTACATGGTATAACATCATGGACAAAACATTTGTTCTTTCTTAATTCAAAATATTATTTTAAAATATAGGAAAAATGGATCCATGTGTAGAAATTGCTGTTAACGGTTTGACCCATTTTTGTAAGAATCCAGTTTGTTAAATCCAGCTAACATGTTTTACATTTCTGCTCCACACCACCTCTTTATAAATCAGCACAGCATCCACTTTGAATAACGTAGATGTCATAGTTAACTGAACTCACTTTCTCAAATGATTATATTTTGTGTAAATATTGTCTTTCTTTTAAAAAGGGGCCCACAAACAGGTGCTAGCTCGCTGCTAGCTGGGCTTGTTTTAGGCTAAACAGCTGTTACTAACGTTTGCGGCCGACTAATTATTATATTCTACTACAAATAGCATTTGACACGTTTTCTTATTACAACTAGTCAAATAATGTACAATTTGCTGGCAATAGTAGTGGCTACACGACACAACATAGCCTGGTTAGCACTCCAGAAACCTAGCATTGTTGTTAGCTTTACGTGTCATGTTAGCTTAGATCTCTCCAACGGCTAATAGACTGTGGCACCAAACTGCTTGAGCAAATCGTGCATTTTTAGGATGTAGTGCTTACTAGAGCTTCCCTTTCTCTGACTATATACATATTATTTATATAATACGAGTTAGTGTTGTCTTATGGTAAATTCGGCCGTGATCTAACCAAAATAAAGCATTGTTTTATTAAGAAAATACCCAAAGTAAAGTTTTAGCTATGGTTTAGCTGTTTGTTGCCGTCCATCACAGTGTACCTTCAGTTATCTTCCTTTAAAGTTAACTAAACATGTTGACAAAAGCAAAACATGACAACTAATAGTTGAAATGCAATGAGTTTGGTAAAAGCTGTTTGACTAACTTAATGTGAACAAAACGTATGTTGGTTTGGCATTTAAAATGGGGGAATAATTGATTGGAATATGGTGGAGCATCCGGACTGAAGCAAAAATATAAACATCTCAAAATGGAAAACAAAACAGAAGTATAAAGGTAAAAATATATACAAGATGACCGTGAAAGATACAAATCTGTCTGACAAATAAACACTATGAAGGGCCAAATTAGAGATAACAATATTTAAAAGTAGGATATTCTTTACATTTATCTTCCTTTGAAGTAAACTGAACATGTTGACAAAAGACAAATACGACAAAAAATACAGTTGGAAATCAACATGTTGGTTAAAATCTGTTTGATGAACTGAATGTGTACCTAACGTTTGCTGTTTTGTTATTTTAAATGGTCGAATAATGAGAGCTAGCTAAGCTAATGCTAATAATGCTAATATCCCTCTTACCTGTCGTCTACGTGGCATTTTCCACCTGATGAGCAATATTTCCCGTGAGTTTGTAGTGTCGATTGGCAAAATATCCCAAACTTAAGATATGAAGATGAAAGGAAACTCTTTATTGATTTGTTTCCAGGCAGAAGTTTTTATGTACACAGCGTTGGGTCTATCGCGCCACAGACAGAACGGAGGCTTGCATTTCCGGTGCTGAAGTTGATCCGCCGCACCGGCAGGGGGCGACAAGTTCTGGTAGTTTCCATGGTGTATGGCAGGCTCTGACTGTGAGTGTGTGCATTTGTGTGTGTATGTCGGGGAGCACCGCCCTTCAGAGTGGACACTGAAACATGCACATTAATTGGATAATAACATAAGCGTTTAGTTTATTTAATAAAAAAGCACATTTTCGATGCAAAAAGTGACCGTAGATAG